CTTGGGGGGGGGGGGACCGGGGATCACCAACACCAGAATCCTAAATGTCGCACTCATGTGCAAATGGATTTGGAAGATCTCCCAAGGGGCGACCCGTCTGTGGGTCGACATTCTTGGAGCCAAGTATTTCCCGAACGGTAATTTCTTCCAAGGTGCGGCTCGGGGCTCCCCCTTTTGGAACAATCTTTAGGCCCTCCGTCGGGCCTTTGCCTTGGGGGCTAGGTTTTCCATAGGTGATGGCCGGTCGGTTAGGTTTTGGCTTGATTTTTGGGTTGGCTCCCAACCGCTTTGGTCGCAATTCCAGGACCTGTACTCTCTCGCGGTAGACCTGGACCTAACGGTGGCTTCGGCCCTGACATCATCCCTTCCTGCGGTCTACTTCCGACGCGAGCTCAACGCTCTAGAGTTGGAAAGCCTCGAGGCGTTGTATCAGCTCATCGGCTAGACAACGTTGTCCACGATCGCGGACATGCATGGTGACCTGAGCCCTCAATGCGTCCGGCAAGTTCTCGGTCAAGTCATTGTACCGCAAGCTTTGCCAGGGGCCCACCTTGCCAACGGCAAACGGGCTCTGGAAGTCGAGACCGCTGAAAATCAAGGTGTTCTTCTGGCAACTGTTCAGAAACAGACTACCCACCTCAGGTAATGTCGCCAAAAGGCGGGGGTCGGTGTCAGACTTGTGTGCGCTCTGTAACATGGTCGAAGACGTGAACCACGTCTTCTTCCAATGCCTGTTGGCGAGGTTTGCATGGAGTGTTGTCCGAACCGCGGCGGGCGTAGCCTGGGACCCGCGGTCGTCCAGCGATTTCGCGCGTATCCTGAACTCGGTCCATGGGAGTAGTAAACGTGTGTTGTGGTCTTGCGTAGGGGCCCTGTTCTGGGCGATGTGGCTTACCAAGAATAAAATTGCTATTGAAAGGGTCTTCCCGACTCACCCGGCTAATATCATCTTCGAATGCAACCTTTTCATGCAGCAGTGGAGTCCGTTGGCGAGGCGCAAAGATGCTGATCAGATGCAACAAGCTCAGGACCGTCTGCGCCACGTGTACGAGATGGCTAGGGAGCCTGCTGCTACTCCTTGGGAGTAGCCCTTTTGGTTGTGCGAGAGCCTGCACGCTCGATGATTGGCCCGTGTGCCATGTAACCCTCTCGCTCTTTTGGCCATTTAGAACCTTATAACTCGCTGCGTCAGTTTGGCCTGAGCTCTGTGCTCTTCGTTTCATTCTGTAAGATTGATTTGGTTGGTTAAGCTGCCTATTCTGGGCTTTATTAATTTAAAGCCAGACGCTTCTAGCGTCTTCGTTCTAAAAAAAATTATTTTTCCGCATAGATATATTCGAGAAATGAAGCTTTTACTTTCTGAGCAGGGTTGTTTGGAGCTGGGCCAGTATATGTGCCTGAGTAACTTTTTCTTTGAGGGGCAAACACCCGACTAAAACTGCACAAATAATATGCGTCACCCAGTGCAAGCACTTGCGCGCCGTCGCCTGCAAGCGCTTGCTACCAGTCGGCCCATCATGCCCTACCGAGAATTTTCCTGCGAGTGATTTTCGGAAATTTCCAGAAGCTTTTGAGCTTTTTTTATTCTGTTTTTATCACTCTGTTGTGTTTTTCGACATTTTCTCCATTTTGAATTCATGTACTTTTTTGTAATTAGTGAATATTTTTTAAAATTCATGAACAATTTCAAACTCACGAACATTTTTTTGAACTAGTGAACATTTTTAAATTCATGAACATATTACAAATCCCTGATTTTTCTTGAATTGGTGAAACTTCTTTGAATCAATGACTATTTTCAAATTCCTGAACTTTTTAAAGTTCATAAAAAAACTTGAAAACAAATCATGAAATTTTTAAAAATTCACGAACTATTTTTTATCTCACAAACTTTCACTTTTATGAGTATTTTTTTAATTCGTAACTTTTTTAAAAAATGAACAGTTTTTGTATTCAAGATCATTTTTTCTTGAATAGTTTTAAATTCATTGTTTTTCAAATTTAGATTTTTTTTAATTCGTGAAAACTTGTGTATTAAATAAATTTAATTTGTGGAAATTTTATATGCCAGAAATAAAATTAATTTAAAATATTTCCAAATTTGTAAACGTTTTTATTATAATAAACCACGGTGTAGAGGTGAATAAAATATTCCTCGCTGAATTGAGCCTGCTGCCGTTCCCTGCGTGCTAGGCCCGGGCCCTTTACTGGATTGCAGTGAGTGATGCAAGCAACCTGTCGCGGATTGGTCTCTCCTAAAAAGGAAACGTATGTTAGTGGTTCGATCATATACGCTATGTGAGGATTTTGGAAAGATAGAAATCTTATAATCTTCCAAACTATAGCACTGCTCAAAAGTCGTGATGATAACTCATGAGGAGATGTCGAGTGGGTGTTGTCTTTCTCCCAACAACCCGGAGATGGGACGACTCTTTTTTATATCTTGATAGAATTTTTAATTAAACTCTTAATTTCGATTGAATGAAGGTAAATATGTGTGTTGGAACAGATATGAAACATGTGAAACTGAAGTATTGTCTCAAGAAAATTATGAAATCGTATAAAAAACCGACAGAACCGTTTACACACACAAAATGTGAATAGATTATGAATAATTCAAAGTATTGAAGGGAAACAAATTGAAGAATAATGGGATCCAAAAAATTACAATAGGGACCGACAAAGGAAAGAAATAATGGGGTATGTGGCACTACAAGGTGATGCTAAGACATGGATGGCTCATTTTATGGATAAAAACTGTGGTTAATCCGGATCTCAAAGCAGCAGGTTGATGCATGGTCGAGGCTATCATTTCGGGGCAAATGGCCGGCCGGCGATTCTTAGGTCGCCTTGGAGCAAATGCGCCTAACCTGACCCTGTGGGAAAATCAAGGGGCTGATGTTTCCCATCTTCACCATGGCCGCGGCAAAGACGTTGTTGAACGCATCCTGGTTAGATGCGAAGCCGTCAACGATGTCTTCGGTGGCACCGCCGACAAGGGTGTAGAGCACCTGGTCGGAGTGCAGGAGCCCCTTGTTGAGTTGGAGGTTGAGGAAGTAGGTGTTGTCAAACATGTTCGGGGTCGTCGTGTCCAGCGGGGCCAGATTGCCGTCGCCAGAGCCGGTAGCCTGAGGGCAGCTGGCGTTGCGCAACATCGCAAAGTCCGGGTCAATGTTGGCCTCGTTGTAGAGCCTGGTCCTGAAGTTCTTGCACTGCGCCTGCCCAATGGTGTGCGCACCAGAGAGGGCGACCATATCAGTGAGGTTGAGCCCCTTCGCGGCAAAGCGGGTGATGAGGTCGGTGACGGCGAGCGATGGGGCAGGCAGGTCGCGGTTGGCCAATGCCTCGCTAGCCGTGTCGGAGTCCCTCCTCCCCAGAGAGACCGTCCACGACGGCCCTCCCACCTGCATGCACGAGGAAAGTAAAACCGATTATTATTTGCCAGGATTTGCCGTGCTTGCTAAAAAAAATTGTCATCTTTGTGACAACATAAATTGCCATGAAAACGTTCGATTTTCCATGCTCTTCCAGCGAACGTCGGCACAATGACGTTTCCGGTTAATTAAGGGGGTCGAAGAGCCTCTTATTAGTTCTTACCGCGACGACGGAATCGCGAGCGGCGACGGCGAGGATGTCGGCGCAGGAGACGATGCGCTTGCACGACTGCTCCACAGTCGCCTTGATTTTGTCGATGACGTCGAAGCCCCGCAGTGATCCCACGTTCCCGAATGCGTTCCGCTCGTTGCCGGCCAGCAGAACGGACGCGTCGCAGCCCTGCATGTACGTAGCCAGGCACGGTTAACCGCTGGTGTTCAGCAAATGAAACCGGCCCGAGCAATAACAAGTAGTGTGTGAAGGACTTGCTTGGACGAAGCAGTCGTGGAAGTGCAGCCGGAGCAGCGACGCGGCCATGCGGGGGTCGCTGCTCACGGCGGCCGCCACGCCGCTCTTGATGGTGGCCAGCGCCCCGGGGCACGACGCGTCGTAGAACGTCGGGGACAGCTGCGCCGACGCCGCCGCGGCCAGGCAGAGAAGGAGCAGCGCCACTGATAGAGATGAAGACGCCATGACGATGGCCTCTATGGAAGAAGCACTACTTGATTCTGTGGTGGACGCGGATGTAATGTAATGGCCTGCATTCCGTGCAGATATATATACAGCCATTCCTGGGATTTTTGTGGCGTTCCACCTACTGCTAGCTAGCTGTTTGATCGACATCGTGCACGGATGTACTATTATGCATAGAGTTAAATTAATTAGACTAGACATGTTTTGCAGGGAGTTAATTAACTTGGATAGTAGCAAGTAGACATGTTTTGCCAAGTACGTGCACGGGTCGCTGTATCATGCATAGATGGCACTCAAGTCAACGAAATTCAAAAACTATTCCCTCCGTTTGGAAATACTTGTCATGAAAATGAATAAAGGAGATGTATCTAGACGTATTTTAGTTCCGCGTACATCCCTTTCTATCCATTTTGATGACAAGTATTTTTGGACGGAGGGAATACATACTCTTTTTGTTTCCTTGTTTTGCAAGGGAAAATAATAGTCCAGATTAGTTTAAGGTATTTTCGGATCTGTTCGTCGTTCGTATATGTTCCTGTGTCTTCAGGTTAGATCCTTCTGATCTACACTCTTCGTCAGCGGCGGTTGCTGTTCTGGTGCGTTGGTTTTATGGGGCCTTAGCACGACGACTTTCCGACTGTCAACTACAACAAGGTTTGCCCGGCTCCGGCGCGGGAGGGGCGATGACAGCGGCGCGCCTTCGGCTCGCTTCAGTGCTTGTAGTCGTCGCTAGGTGGTTTACGAATCTGGATGTAATTTTTATTATTTCTAGCATTCGTTGTACCCATGATTGAAGATGAATAGATTGAAAGTTTTCTCGAAAAAAAAAGTCAACTTCTTTATAGTATTATTTTTTCAAAAAACAAAAACCTCTCTATATTATATTTGACCAAGTGTTGCATAATGTACTATGCGTCGTGCGTGCACGGGTGTGTATATCATTCACACAGCGCACGGACCTGGAATGGAATATACATGGTCGCTTCAACGTCTTAGACGACCATTACAAACGCGTCATTCAGCATTCAATGTATCCGATGATCCATATCATATGATTACCCAACGTCTGATGTATGCACCGGTTATCCTGCCTTTTCTTTCCTTTTTTTATTTTCTGTTTTTCCTTTTTCTCCTTTTCCCGTTTTTCAAATACACGAACGTTTCTGACATTCATGGACATTTCCCGCACAGATTTACTATTATACGAACGTTTTTCACTGAATCTCCTCCAAATGTTGTTCACTGGACAATTTTATAAAATATGGCCACATTTATATATATATATTATACTTTTCCCGAATCCATGAACATTTTTCACTGAACAATTTTCAAATTAATGAATTTTCCAATTTCATTAAATTTCTCAATTTTGCAAAAACAAAACGCAAATATTCTCCAAATTGAATTCTTTTTCCAATTCATGAACCTTTTCTTATTCACTATTTTAATTAAATTCAAACTGACCGGAATAGTAAAGAGAAAAGGTGATCGCGCTCTAGCTCTGCCCATACTCGTTGGGCCAAGCCTATGTAAAGCATGCGCGGGAGCAATGCGAGAGTATAGCTCGCTACATGCGATACACGGCACCTCCCACAAGCATATTAATCGAGTACTAGAAGAACACCCGTGCGTTGTAATGAGGCCACATTAACTTTAAGAGTTCAATACTAATATTCTCATACATATCAAGTGACATTGACGACCTTTTTTACCATCAACTCCTCACACACACTCGCTGCCTCCCTTTTCCTCACTCTCTCTCTCCCCCTCTCTCTAACACACACACACACACACATATCCATATTATTGGGTACGGGACCATAATCAATCTATTTCACACACACGCTAGTGCATAACAATATGGATTATGTGTATAATATTTGCCACCACAACTAAGGGAATTAATTTCATGTAAATCGGCTAGCCACAGCTCCAAGAATACGCGGAGGATGTGGCCCGCTTCCAAGTGCGTCTGCGCGCCGGCCACCCACGCCGGGTCCTTCAAGTGCCGCTTCCACCGCACCAACTCCCAGGGCCAGGGAAGCCGCCCTTCTTCGCCCCCTTCACCGGCCGCGGCCAACGCGGTGCTGCGGCACCCGGCCTCGCCGTTCTTGTCCTCCGGCACCGTCACGACCCAGTGACGTAGCCCAAGCATGGGCCTCGAGAATCAAGAACGCTCGACAACGGAGAGGGAAGGGAAGATCATATACATGTCATAAGAAAGGGAGTTTATTTACCGCTCCCTCGATGTATTGTTTCCTTTGTTTGGAGATTGATTACCATCCATGAGTTAAGGTAAGGTTAATGTGATTGAGCGATTTTTTCTGAAAATCAATTATTTGTTTTCTAATTAATGTGATTGAGCGATTTAAGGTAAGGTTAATTAATTTAGATTTGATCTTTAGAGATTGTTCGTGATTGATTCTACATTACTAAATAACTTGCGCCAGTATGGAAAGTTCTGATCTGTTCAGATTTCTTTCATTGTGTGAGAGGGTGGCGCGAAAATAAACCGATGTAGTGGGGGGAGGGGACGAAAAAAATCTACGAAAAAACCCAGCGAAGGTGGGAGGAGGTACCAAAAAAACCATGGAAGGTGGGACGAAAAAAAACCTCCCATACTTCATGCAGGAAGAGCACACATTCATAAGCTAACGGTTTCACAATGTGTTCTTGCTGATAGTAATTGAACCAAATGAAACGATGGACAAGCAGATTGATTAAGGAACTCTAGGTAATACTTCATGCCGTAAGCATTGGCTCAAAAAGTTAATTTATAAGTAACAAAAAAAGGCCTAGAAGAATAGTACTACCTAAATAAAGTTTACTGCTGCACATGAGCAGATCCACACGAAGCAGAGGGGAGGTGGAGCAGGCCGGTAACCAGGGGAAGGAGCTGAGTGGGAGAAGATTTACACCGCCGTCTCCACTGGATATGGTGTCTCCGCCGCATCTGTGGAAGCGCCGCGGCTCCGCCTCGGATGGTGCTCGTGGCTATGGTGAAGAGGAGGGGCGACGCATGGGCGAAGAGGCAGGCGGTACTCGTGGCCAAAATAGTGGGTCGTTCGAGCTGCGGGAGGGAGGAGGGGATCGCAGGGAGGCGGCGAGGTCGGTGGGCGGCGGCGGCGGCGTCCAGGTAGGAAAGTCGAGGTAGGGCCCTGTGTTTTTTTAGGGGAATTGCTTGTGAAAATAACGTGCCACAACGATGTAGCGAGCGGATCCCCTTAAAAAAGACGTAGCGAGTGGATTCCCTTAAAACTGATAGGAATGGACACGATTGATGACGTTGATAAATAGTGGTGAATGTTGGCCTAATTTACTATCATCATGCATGGAAACAAATCATCAAGAAAAAGAATACTTCCTATTACTACGCTCATAGGAAGCTTTCTAATCTCTGCTACCAAACAGTTTTTCCCCAAACAAGGAAGGAAAGTTATGAACCTGATTCGAAAGGAAACAAACGTTATGAAGATTAATTAATTTAGATTTGATCTTTAGAGATTGATTGTGATTGATTCTTTTACATAAAGACATTACTAAATAATTTGTGTTAGTATGGAAAGTTCTGATCCGTTCAGTTTTTTTCCGTGTGTGAGAGGGTGAAACGAAAATAAACCGATGAAGTGGGGGGAGGGGACGAAAAAAATCTACGAAAAAAACCAGCAAAGGTGGGAGAAGGTAAAAAAAACCATGGTAGGTGGGACGAAAAAAAACTTAAAAGCGAGACTACCAACTGCTCCATTAGAAATACAGATTATACATAAACCGGAAGCTCCAAAAGCCACACATGGCGACCTAGTGGATGATCTGTGTGACCAGCAGATAGCAAGAGATGGCCTCATGGGTGCAGGACTTATGGGCCTACAGTTCTGACCACAAGACGCCATAAATGGAATAGATCACTCTTTTTTTCCAGACATAGTTGCAACCAAAAAGCTATATCTCGCCTCTTGCAAGGTGGATGTAGTGATCATATCTTTGGCCGGTTTTGGGAATCTTCCGCCTGGTTTTAGGAAAATTATGCCCTACTTTCTAAAAAAAATTAATGTGTTTTTATTATCGGTTTTGGTGATCATTTTATATTTTATTCTCAGTTTCCTTTGTAATTTTTAAATTTTCCATTTTTTCAGCATCAAATCAATTGACTTTAATAATCCTATTGGTCATAGAGTATGAATATATACTCATATGCCATGAACATTTTTATAAATAAAATCTGTGGAGAACTTTTTACATTTCCATGAATATTTCTTGAGTATGATCCTTTTTTGAAAAGGGTAATATGTGTTGAACAGTTTTCTATTACGTGATTAAAGTATTTTAAAACACAATGAACAATTATCGCAGACATTTTCTATTTGAAGGATGGAATTTGTTTTTTCAAAGACAATGGCCTTTTTTTAATACGCATCTAACATTTTCTGCAAAAACACGATGAACATTTTATTTTACATTTTGTAAATATCCTATCAAATTTAAAATACCCCATGAACTTTTTTAAGTACTGGAGGAATCTTTTTAATACATGATGAACCCTTTTTGAAAACATGATTACCATTTTTTAATACCCTGCAAACATACTTAATATATGCTAGACTTTCTATAGAATTATTAAAATAAAACTTTTTTTCAGACATATACTATAAAAACTTCAGAATAATTATAAGAGAAAAAAAACCCCAGCACTAAGCAGGCACAAACTAACTAGCGATCAGACACCTTCTGGGAGAAATTCGGTACTATCGACGAGCCGTTGTTCATGGGTCAAGCCGAACATATCTTTTTGTAGCTGAGAATAGTGTGCCACTCGCTGGAGACCAGATACGGGGTCAAGCATATGTCTCGCCTTTAGCAACGGAAGCCGGGCTCGCCTATAGGGAGCTGTTAGTGGGCCAGCCAAATAGTCATGTGGTTTTATCACGCTGAAGTCATGCACATAATTTTTGTCTGTTTTACTTATATTTGTGTACTGCTCGAAAAAATGTATATTTGTGTTCTGTAAATACACATATTGTGAAACTAATTTAGTTTATTTTTTAAAATGTTCCTCGTACACTTAAAAAAATGTCCATGCAGTGCAAAAAATATATTCACTCAGCCTTTATAAAATATTTGTACCATTAAAAAATGTAGCTGCTATTTTCAGAAATGCTAATGTCCTTCGAAAAATTGTATGTGACATTTTTGGAAACAATTATGCAATGTAAAAAATGTTCATGTAATTCAAGAAATTGTTTCCAACCATGTAAAAAATGTGCGATACATATAAATATTCAGGTGTTTCAGAAATATGTTTGTATAAAATGTATGTGTGGTTTTTAAAATGTTTCCTATCATTCAAAAAAAATGTTTCACCGTGTATTTGAAAAACAATTAACACATGAACTCAACGTCGATGTTGTGCATGA